AGCGAGAGAGAGAGAGCTACAAAATGGTCTTTCATTTATATCCCCCTTTTTCTATTTACTTTTGTCAGAGATGTGTATTCCATTTCCATTCGTATATTTTCTTTTAAGTCCTTAAATGTATTTATAGTATTTGTCTTAAACTCTTTGGTAATTGTAGACAAAAGGCGCTCAACATTGGTTTACATTTTTTCTTCTTCCTTTTCATCCTACCATTCATTTTTTAATATGGTCAGTATTTTTCTTTTTCTTTACATGTCTCATGATTTTTTTGAAAGCTAGACTTGATGAATTTTATTGGGTAAATTTTCAGAGCTGTAAGAAGTCAAGATGACCAATCAGGACAATAGCCAAAATGAAAGCAATGAATAAGAACTTATTTATTGTGATAGTGTAAGCAACAGACCAAAAAGGAAAATTTCCGGATCTCTTGATGTTCCATTTTCTTCCATGAAATAGTAGTGGGTAGAGGTCACATAGATCACCACATCCAAGGGACAAATTATTCCTCCCATTTTCTGGACCTAGGGGCTGGAGGTTGGGAAAAGGAAATAACTAAAGAGTAGAACAAACTCAGAATAGAAAAAGTGTCCTCAAGGATAAGAAAATCTTAGCAGAGTTTGCCTGAACTGAAGCTACCACCAACTACTTCCCAAATATGGAGACCTCAGAATGGAAGTACCTGGGATGTGAATGCAGAGATGCACAATAGCTTAGCCAGTCCAAGCAGGGAAGGGCAGGGCAAATGCTCATTGGATCCTGGACTTCAATCCCTTAAAAAACTACAGGGCAGTAGTCATGTATCAACTCATTGGAGGACACAAGCTTTTCTCCCACAAAGCCTGCCAGGGAAAGCTTTGCAATTGCTGCTGGTCAAGCCTAAAAGATCAGTATCAGGTTTTCGACTTGAAGCCAACTCCTCTGTAGAGGCTTTAGATTTTGCTATGTTCCTCTGGCATGTAGCATTTGTTTTTCCTAGCAGGGAGTTAACTTGGCTAGATTCAAACTTTAAATTGTCTCTCTTTCAAAACATCAGCTAAAATCTGTACTCTATTTCTTTCAGTCTCTAGTTGCTGCTTTTTGCCCAGGCTCCACTGGGTCTTACTCTTATGGGAATATATATATATTTGACAGGTGTCAAATTTGGGACATATTTTAAATGCATATCAGGGGACCAACTTTTATTGCAGAATTTCCCCAATGAAATGAATTCAGTTGTAGCCCTCTAAAAACATATATCTACAACTTAATCCCTGAAACCTTTAAGTTTAACTTTATGTGACAAAAGCTGTGATTGAATTGAGAATCTTGAGAGAAGAAATTTATCCTTGATTTTCTGGGTGAACCTTAAATGCAATCACCTGTACACTGTACAAGAAAGTCAAAGAAAATTTTGGAACAGGTATCTAGAGGAAAAAATAGGTGCAGGAGGTAAAAGCAATGTGTCTGTGGAAGCACATATTGGAGTGAAATAGTCACACACCAGAGAATTCATGAAGCCACTAAAGCTAGAGAAGGCAAGACCTTCCTTGCCAAGGAATGTGGCTCAGTTAACATTTTGATTTTAGACTTCTGGACTTCAGAAGTACAAGAGAAGATGTTTTTATTTTTTTCAGTCCTCTCAGTGTATGGTTATTTGTTAAAGCAGCCATAGGAAACCAAAACATCCTGTAAATTTCTGGTTGCTCTGCAGCTGGGATCATTGTCCTCTCACACCTAAAGATAAGGTTGTGGATTTCCATGCTCAAAATACATTCATGAGTGCTTTGATGAAGATTCTCAAGGAAAAAGCTTCCAACTACAAATCCCTGATTCCTCTGGAATTGTACTCTTAGATTCAGAACATTTGGACACAGCTCTTTGATAAAGAGCTAGAATTGGAATGAGGAATTTTCAGACCCGGATTTTATTTTTAGTAGTGTCTGGCGACAGCACTGTGGTTACTGGACATGGGGCCGTGCTCTTCACATGCAAAGCTGTGGCACTAGGTCCAAGAATCCTATAAGGCAACTTGTTCACTTTGTACTTCCCAGTACCTTTTTTTTTTTTTTAACCTATTTAGTGCAGGGTCTACAGGTTCTCACTACACAGCTCTCAGACTTGTGATCCTCCTGTTCTCAGCCTCCCAAGCACTGGGATTACAGGTGCGTGCCACCACACCCAGTCTCAGTCACTGTCTCAGCATGCTCCAGGGGAAGGGCTGGTACAGCAAGCCAGGGATCAAACCTTGGTCCCTGGGTCTGCCTAAGCAGGCACTTTAGTCTGCTTCCAGGTACTTTGCTTTTCCTTTATAAATACAGAAAAACAAACTACATTTCCCCATTATTAACTCTGGCTTACTCTTTCTTCATATGAGCACTAGGTATGAGCCTGTTACAGTTTCTGTCTACATGTCCCCCTGTGACTGGATCTACAGTATGTGATATTAAGATTAAAGGTGCAGTTACTAAATTTGACAATTAATTGGTTTGGTACCTTCCTAATTCCAGCAACTTAGAAAATAAAAGGAATAGAAAGAAGCTGTTAAGTTCTCATTATTTTGCTATCTTCTGCCCACCATTATTCCCCCTCCCCTCATTGCATTTGTTGTCTTCCACCACCACAAACTTTTGCCCCTCTGCCATGTACTGCTCTTCTTTGGAGCCAGCTGATTATGGTCTGAAACCATTGAAAACTGTGAACTAAATGCAGTTTTCCCCCTTTAACTTTGGGAATTGTGTATTTTTGTCTCAACAAGAGAAAAGTCACTAAGATAGAATTTGGTACCAGGAGTGGGGAAGTTACTATGACTGCCTAACCATGTGGTTCAGGAGTCTTTGGAGATGGCTTGTGGGAAGACTTTGTAAAGATCTAGGAGATGTCAACTGAAAAAGTACAGCTGGAACATCTTCAGCTTCACTATATGACAGATCCTGGTCAGAGCTCAGAAGACCAGAATGCTGATAGAAATGTGGCTGGGAAAGACCAACAAGGACTTTGTTAGCAGACCATGGAGAAAGATTTCTGCTGGGAAGAAAGGCTGTAATGGTTGTTGGACTTCAGATGATGTACGTTATTGCTTATTGTAGAAAGTTTCTTTGCATTTTCCTCAAGTCCAGAGTATTTGTCTGAGACTAAGATTAAGGGCAGTGGACTAGTTAATCTTGGAGAAGAAATTTCAAGGCACTCTAATGTTGAAGGCATAGCACCACTGCTGTTCAGGGCTTTTAGCCACATCTATGTTAATAATGAAGTGAAAAGAAGCCAGAAGAATTATTTAAGGTGTTTTGAGTTTGACCAGAAAGGGAGCTGCAGTAAAGCTGTGGACAGCAGAGGAAATCTTATTAAGTAATATATATTCTTCTTCTTTTTATTTTCACTTTCCCTTCACTCCCACACTTCTCCCTCCACCCTTAAATCTCTCTTACATCTCCAAAAGGTCTGTCTCTGTTTCCTATCATCTGTCTTTTATTTTTCTCTTTACATTAGTTATGCATTCAGCTTCTCATATAAAAGAAACCATGAGATATTAGCCTTGTGTGTCAGATGTACTACATTTAGTATTAAGGTGGATCCATTTTCCCTTAAAGGCCTTTAACTTATGTTTCTTCATGGCTTAGTAGCATTCCATTGTATATATGTACTAGCTAAGTTGCCAAGGCTAGCATCAAACTTGTGTTCATCCTATCTTAGCCTCCCTGGTAGCTGGAATTACAGGTACGCACTATCATAATGCTTATGCTAGCTTATTAAATTGTAATTTCACTTTCTGATTACCAACTAACTAAAAAAAACATAGTACACCATTCCTTTTTCTTTAAGTCATTTTTAAAACTTTTAGCACCTTCAGAATAACTTTTAAGTAAACAGTGTGGCACAACTACAATAAATAGTGATTTCCAGTCTATATTTTTAGCTATGGAAACTAGGAACTTTCCATGGTGCTTTCCTTAGACCAGGCTCTTTTCTACTTTTCTTTCTTCTTACCATGCCTTGTAATCATTATTTAAGGCTAGTCATGCTTACCAGAACAGGGACAGATGATAGGTGTGGTCATGGGGGTTGAGAACCAGTATGTTTTTTTCTGTATTTACTTCTGTATCTGGAATAGCAACAAGAAATTTTGGAACCTGACTCTTCAATGACTATGATGAGGAGTATGTCTGCAAACTCAAGTGAACACACAGTATGAACACACAGCAAGTGATAAACCCTCATCATTTTAGTTTATTTGTCCTATGATTCTTAGTTGTTTAGAAATATTTTACTTTTCCAATTTTCAGTGATGAACAAAAATGGTCCTTCTGGGAAGCGTTCTTTAGCTCCACTGTGCACACTGGCACTTCTGTGCACCATAGTTGCTTTTGCCCTAATAGTCTCAGGTAAATTCACGGGGGTTAATTGGTGAAAATAATAGTTGAGTTTTTGTTTTCTATGTGCCTTGAGATGAGAAAATGCTCTTTGCCTTTGTTTTTGCCTCACAAAGAAGAGAACAATTCAACCAGTTATAATTTCACTGGCAATTTCTCTTCCTATATAGGAGATCTTGGTTCTTTCCAAGCTGGTAGAAGTTGTCTAACTTTTTTTATCTGAGCTCAAGAAATGAGGTTAGTTGTACTCTGCCACAGTATTAAGTTTTTTCAGTGAATTTCTGAAGCTTTTAGGAGAGAAGTCATCATAGAAATGAGGAACAATAAAAGACTTGGTCACCATGTGATCTGAGGCCAATTCAGTGTCACCAAGACACTGCTTCAGGAACTCAGTCATCATGTGTGGAACTGAGAGAGCAGTCATAAAATTAGTGATTCTGCCTTGGGATCCCTCATTTGATGATCTCCTTGCCATGTGGGTTGCTGAATGGAAAGTAAATACCATCAGAAAAGGAGAAAGAAAAGTATAAAACAGGAAAGTTTTATTATGAGGATCCCACAGCAAGTTAATGGCCAGGCAATGACATCATTACACACATACATAGTTTTATGGATATTTCGAGGCTTCCTTTACTCACCCACAGTTGTCTTGTGGTACCTACAATCTTATCTCTAAAGAGTAATTTGTTTAAATTGTAAAGTCTTTCATTTTACAGTCATGTAACCACCCTGGGAAGAACTAACAATGTACTTCATGAAGTGATGAGAAACTTTAGTACAAGCAGATACTAAGATTCTATGCATAAAACAAGACTAGGCATTAGTTGAGAGATAAGGACATGACACATATCCACTGTCTCTATTTTAATATTCAACTTCCAGAATATTTAGCTTCAATATCCATCTTCCAGAGCCAGATCCAGGCAGGTAGAAGAGAACAGATAGCCTAGGGAGGGGAACAACTATCAGCTAGATATGTAAAATAGCTCAATTGAAATTATTCTTTAATTCAAATTAAGGTGTATTAATTTCCCCAGAGGCTACTGGGATGTTTTGTCTATGTGGGGTGTATTAAACGAAGCTGTTTTATAATTCATCACCAAAGTTACTGCCTATCAGTTTCATTTCTCATGGGGATCTAGCCATCAATAAGCAGATTATGCTACTTGTTACCCACAGGGTGAGAGTGTGATTGTTTTATTTTTACATAAATGCAGAGCTGAGTCTAAGTCTAGTGTTGACATGATTCCCAGGGTCCTCACAAAAGATTTAATTTCTCAGTATACTGAAACATGTCCAAGTTGTCCTGCCACACTGAGCACAGATGGATGTGAATGGCACAAGCAATTAAGGAAATCATCAATCAATTAGTTGATTAATATACTCTAATTGAACAACTATAGAACACTAAGATAAACATGATAGAAGATATAAATATACAAAAGAACTATTCCTTATCCTTAAATTATGCAGGAAACACTGAAAGGCCATTTTCTGTGCTATTGACCACTTCACCCAGCCAACAGCAGCCAGGTCCCATAGCTCACCTGGACTCACAGGCTCACAGGCAACCTTTTTCCCAAGAAGACTCTGGGAGTTATCTGCTCTGGTTAATCCAGTCTGACTGACAGCTTTAGAGAGATACAGCTTCCCTTTATACCTCTGCTTATAGCCTACATGTTAAATTGGCTCCCTGCTCCACTTTCTAGGTTTTATGTTTTATTTATTCCTGGTCTATACTTACTAGATCCCGCCTACTCAGCAAGAAACCTGATGCCCTCAGAATCTTTTTGTTCTCTCACTAAAACTTGGCTCTCAAACTCAATACGATCACCATTTGAGGTCGGATAATTCTTTATGTGACACCAGGCTGAATGACTATAGGATGTTTAATAGGAACTCTGTTCTCTGCCCACTAAATGCTTTCAGAAGCCTCCTACCCACATTTGTGACAATCAAGAGTATCTATAGACATTTCCAAAAGCCTCAAGGTGAGGCAGGAATCATCATCGGTTGAAAACTCCTCCTTTAAACCCTTTCCTAGATCCATCCATTATCCAAGAAAGTCCTCCTGGAAGCTGTGGGCTACAATCATGACTTCTGACACTCATATTTCTTCCTCAACAGACTTCTATAAACTACATGAGGGCATAGTTCTTGTCTTCCCCAATGCATTGCTAGAACAGTGCCTGGTACAGAATAGATACATGCTGTTTACTTTACAGATCCCTGAGAGTCCCTGAGTCCCTTCATCCATGAATAAAGAACTCTTAGTGGTTAATAATGACCAGAATGCAACTCAGATCAGTAGCACCATTTATTGTTGCTATTTTGGGCAGTTAGCTGACTGGTCATGCTGACCACACAAAGTGGTACATCTACCTGACATTCACAATCACCCCACGGAGCAGACATGCTCTCACCCTGAAAATGAAGAACTCTCAGCAACTAAGATCTTTATCTTCAGATAACGCTGTACTTGTTACAGTCTTCACAGGAAGGCTCAAAGCACCATAAAGCAGCACACCGTAACTTCAGACAGTCAGGTGCCTGCAATTCATGGGGGTATTGTGGAGTATCTGAAACTGGAATTCAACTTTAAAGAAAAAAGATGATTTTCAGGGGCTGGGGAGATAGCTTGGTGGTCTAAGTGTCTGCCTGGCAAGTGCAAGGACCCTGGTTCGATCCTGGATACCATATGCCAGCCACTGAAGCCAGGAGTTGTGGGGCACACCTCCTATTCCAGTGTCAGGGAGGCTGAGACAGGAGGATCACTATAGGTCTGAGTTGTGTAGTGAGACCCCGTACCAATAAATAAATAAATAAATCTTCAAAAAAAGAAAAAGGTGATTTGAAGAAGAAAGTAAAGTAGATGAGTGAGTAAAGCAGTGTTCATTTCCAAATGTTCATTGTAAATAACATAATAAGAACAGCCTACAAAGTTAGGAGAAAACAGGGTATACTTTGTATGTCATACTTCATGAGGAAATGATTCAGGCAGGAAGAAACCAATTAAGAGACCCTGGTACCAAATTGCAGAAGGTTTTTTCAATAATTGTTTGGAGAGCTACCTAACGATCTCAACTGATCACTATAGCAGAAAATGTAAGCAGCCTTTAAAAGTGATGTCTCCTCTGGCAGAGAAAACCTGGGAAAGAGATATACTTGTTCATTTATGGCATTCACTCAGCAAAAATAAATCAGCAAAATTGTCCTAAGTCCATACAGCGAAACAGAGGCAAGAATGCCTATGAATTTTTTGATGAAAGATGGAGGAGAAGGTTAAAAGTTTGGGCAATGTCAAAGTGTACGAGTTTGGGATCTGAGGCAAACATGACATTGTGGTCTTGAGTCAGTGCTATTGAGCCTTACCTTTGGAATATGAAAGCTAGGAGCCTTGCACGGGAATTGTGAAGGTTGTGTCTCACACTGTCTGATACGTAGCAAATCCTCACCAACTAGAATCTAATTTTAAAATTTACCTAATAGTAAAAACTTACAACAGATATCACAATGTATTCTTGTCAGGCCGGTATACATACTAGGACATACATAAAAGCCCAGGAATAAAAACAAAAGCTTGTATAACTGACTTGGAGAGGTACTATGTAAGCCAAATGAAACTGTAATTTTTCCTTCCCCATCCTATGGTAAGCAGGCTCTCTCTATCCTTTCTCAAGCAAACTGCCAAACTTTTCCATATATTCCAAAGTCCAAAACTTTAAAAACAAATAAAAACTTCAATATTTTATTCATGTTAGAACTCTTCTCTCTAGGGCCAGGGAGAGGGCTCAGTGGAATAAGCACTTCCCTGGCAAGCACAAGGGCCTGAGTTCAATCCCCGGTTCCACCAAAAAAAAAAAAAAAAAAAAACAAAACCAAACAAAACAAAAATATAGCACATTGACCAAGCATTGGCCATGACTCATCCACATGGCTGCACTGACAAAGGTTCTACAATCTGAGGTACAGGATCTCAGGATAAATCCTGAGGGCATTTCACTGACCTCAGACCAAAAAGCTACAACTCTTGTTGCACAGGTCCTGCTTTACCTTGGTCTTAACCATCCAGTAGAAAAGTATGAAGATGAAATATAGGAAGTAAAGCCATGTTGTTATGTTGAGCTATGGGGGACTCAGGTCAATAATTTCTGACATTGCCAGTTAAACAGAAGACCCAATGCTATTATGGGCTACCAGACTCTTTTAGAATATTTTGCTGAGTTTACACACCTATAATATTCAATAATGGAACTTAAAAAAAATGGGGTATAACTATGAATGTCCATTTTGTATCTGTGTATTCAAAGTGGTTGGGATAGATATATAATTGCATTCTCTTAATGAATAGAATGATTTGTTCTAATGGTGCTTGTAAATAGGATCACAAGTCCGCATCTTGTACAGCAATTAACCACTAAGAAGAATATATGCAGTGTATTATTTGTTGAAACTGTACTTTCGATTTGATTTGAAACTGTCTCATTGCTATATGTTTATCAATAAAACTTTGAAAAGAAAAAAAAAAGAACTTTTCTCTCTAAACTCTGTTCTGAATCAGCATTTTTGATTGACTGTTATTTCTCCTAATCTCAATATTTTACTCATTTCCACCAGTCACCCACTTTATTTGGCTCCTTCAGGTGGGCATGTCCCTACACTCTGACCCACTCTGATGCATGTCCATTGTCAGGTGGATGTACAAAGCAAATTTGGCATCAGTGGATAGGTGAAAAGAGATATATAAGCACAATGAATATTAGTTAACCTTAAGATTCATAGGAGGGGCCAGGGAGATGGCTCAGCAGTCAAAGGGCTTGTCTGACAAGCCCAAGGGCCTGGGTTTGATTTCCGTTACTGCATGCCCTGCTGTACTGGCCACCAAAACTGGGTGTGGTGGCATATGCATTTAATCCCAGCTCTGGGGAGGCTGAAAACAGGAGGATCACTATGAGTCTGTGATGCATAGTGAGACTCTATACCAAATAAATTTTTAAAAAGATCCATAGGAAATGTATCTTCTGATGAAAGATCCATAGGAAGCATTCTACAATCCTTCACAGCTTGGATGAACCTGGAAACCATTATTTAAAGTGAAGATGTATGCAATGTGTTAATTATGAAACTGTCCCACCAATTTGATTTGAAACTGTCTCACTGCTATTTGTTTATGAATAAAATTATGGGGAAAAATGGTTAAGATAGATATACAGCTACATTCTCTTAATTCAATGAATAGAGGGATTTGTTCTAATAATGTTTGTAAATAGGATATCATGTCTGCATGTTGTACAACAAATAACCACTAGGAAGACAGTATGCAATGTGATAATTATTGAAACTATCCTACTAATGTGATTTAAAACTGTCTCATTGAACTTGTACTGTAACGTCATGTACCTCGGTAGTGTCCCAAATTTTCTGATCAAGAAGATTATGGGGTCAAAGAGGAAAGTGATCGATGACGTAGAGTGTGCCTAAGGAGAGTCACATGGGGAGAAGACACTCTCTCAGGCTTTCACAGAGAGCACACTGGCCAAGCAATGGCCGTGACTCATCCACATGGCTGCCGCTGACAAAGGTTCTACAATCTGAGGTACAGAATCTCAGGATAAATCCTGAGGGCATTTCACTGACCTTCTCAGACCCAAAAGCTACAACTCTTGTTGCACAGGTCCTGCTTTACCTTGGTCTTAACCATCCAGTAGAAAAGTATGAAGACGAAATATAGGAAATAAAGCCATGCTGTTAAGTTGAGCTGTGGGGGACTCAGGTCAATAATTTCTGACATTGCCAGTTAAACAGAAGACCCAATGCTATTATGGGCTACTGGACTCTTTTAGAATATTTTGCTGAGTTTACACACCTATAATATTCAATAACAGAACTTAGGAAAAATGGGGTATAACTATGAATGTCCATTTTGTATCTGTGTATTCAAAGTGGTTAGGATATATATATAGTTGCATTCTCTTAATGAATAGAATGATTTGTTCTAATGGTGTTTGTAAATAGGATCACAAGTCCGCATCTTGTACAGCAATTAACCACTAAGAAGAATATATGCAGTGTATTATTTGTTGAAACTGTACTTCCGATTTGATTTGAAACTGTCTCATTGCTATCTGTTTATCAATAAAACTTTGAAAAAAAATAAAATAAAACTGTCTCATTGCTATTTGTTTCTCAATAAAATTATGGAAAAAATACATAAAGTGAAGAAAGCCAGCCACAAAAAAATAAAACTTCTACAATTCCAATTATATGAAGTACTGAGAGCAGTTCAATTCACAGACTGAAATTGTGGTTGCTACATACTGAGGGCAGAGGAAAATGGGGATGTTAGTGGTTGGTAGGTGTAGCTTCAGTGGGGGACTGTGAGGTGTTCTGAATACAGATTGTTGTGATGATTTTACAATAATATGAATGTATATGAGGCCACTTAACTGTCAGTTTAAAATGGTAAATTTTATTTTATGCATATTTCATCACAATTTTAAAAATTAAAATGTCAATGAAAGAACGGCCATGGATAGTGCTTTTGTGCTTGTCTCCGAGATCTCTAGCAAGACACAGATGATCAAGGTCTTCGACGGGCTTTGTCAGGCTGTGGATTTCTGATGATGACTTTTCTTGTTAGAATGACTCTGATGATTTGTCCTTACCAATGTGTTCACTGAGATGTGGCTTTTTCCCTACTAACCCAGGAAAACCCAATCTTATTGTTTAATATTCTCCTTTCTCCTCAGTATTTCTTTTAAATTGAGTGATGGAAATGAAAGATTATCAGATTAATGGCAGGACTATTTCATAGGTGATGTTGAATTCTTCCATCAGAAGGCATGCAATATTTCCTTTTGCATTTTTGTTAAAATTGGCATTAGCAGTCAGTGGTGCTCAAAACCTACATCCGATCATTTTAAAATATTGCCATATTATAAATCTATACTTCTCCTTTATTTATTAAATAAAATATTTCCTTTAAAAATTTCACTCATCAACTATTGGATTCTTTCTTTTATGTTGTCATTCTTTCTTTCTTTATTTTAAAGAGAAAATTGAAAACAACAACAGCAAAGACAAAAACAAATCACCATAAAACAATAAAAATGGAACACAATTTCAAAACAAGTACAGGAAACTAACAATGATTGCTATATTATATATCGTTACGATCAAATTTGTTGCTCAGACTATCAGATATAGGCTTGTAAGATTGATCAAACAGTTAAAACATTAACTCTTCCTTTCTATAAACCTTAATTTTTTTCTTTTTTGGCAGAACCAGGGATTGAACTCAGGCCCTTGTGCTTGCCAGGCAAGCGCTTATTCTACTGAGCCATCTCCCTGGCCCCAAACCTTAAAATTTTTGTCCTTCTTTTAGGTTATTTAGAGAGAACACAACAATAATAGATAAGGCCTTAGAAATGATACACATTTCAAAAAATAAGACAAAAAGTACTCAGCACTGGTTGTTATATTGCACATTGTTATCTTCTATATAGTTGCTCAGATTACAGATACTAGCATATAAAATTGATCTAAGTAAAAATTTTAAGCATTAACTCCTACCTTCAAAAGACATTAGTAGTACCATTGTCTTAGTTATCCTGAGTGTGTAATTACAAAATTTCCCCTTTTTGCTTTTCCTATCTTTTCTCCTTTCCCTCATCTCAATTGTTTATTCCTTATGTTCAGTTTCTTTCCTTTTTGCTGCGTCTTTTGTACCTTTTGATTTTCTTCATTCTTACACAATAAGATGTTTATACAAGTAGGTCTGATTTATTTCACTTATGAATATAGCCTCTAGTTGCATCCATTTACCTATAAAAACCTCAAGTTTATCTGCCTTTATAGCTGAGTAATATCCCATTATATAAAATACCACAGCTTCATTATCCACTCCTCAGTTGATGGGCATTTGGGTTGTTTTCAACGTTTAGCTATGACAAATTATTCTGCTATAAACATGAGTGCACATATATTGCTGTGGTATGATGTTTTCAGCTCTTTTGGAAGAATAACCAGAAGAGGAACAGCTGGGTTGACCGGGACTTCTAATGCTAGTTTTCTGAGGAGAATCCACACTGCTTTCCATAATTGTTGTACTGGTCTATACTCCCATCAACAGTACAGAAGGGTCCCTTTTTCTTCACAGCCTCTTCAACATTTCTTGTTGATTTATTTCTTTATGATAGCCATTCTTTCTGGAGTGAAATGGAATATCAGTGTTGTTTGAATTTGCATGTCTCAAATAAACAGTGCTCTTGAACAATTTTTCATGTATTTATTCGCCATTTGTTTTTATTCCTCTAAGAAGTGTGTATTCATCTCAGGTTCCCATTTTTGGATTGAGTCTTTTGATTTTGGGGACCTGATTTTTTTTTTTGGTTCTTTATATATTATAGATAGAGCTCCTTTGTCTGAGTGACTCTTGGCTAAGATTTTTTCCCAATTTGTGAGTTGTCTTTTCACTCTGTTGGTTATTTCTTTTGACATGCAGAAACGTCCTTAATAAGATGAAATATCAGTTGCTGATTCTTTGAAGTACTTTCCATGCAATTTGGTTTTTTTTTTTTAACTCTCTGTCTACCCCTACATCTTTAAGATTTATTCTCTTAGAGCACATTGGCCAAGCATTGGCCGTGACTCATCCACATGGCTGCACTGATGAAGGTTCTACAATCTGAGGTACAGGATCTCAGGACAAATCCTGAGG